ACCGCCACTATCGTCACTAAAGGTTAATGTATAACCAAGTAGGAAAACATCTAATTCACCTTAACCTTTATATACTAAGCCATTTACTTAATCATGCAAGTTTTGTTACTTCCTGCTAGGGCTCCGGGTTTGTAAAAGTTTACCTCAACAATATAGGTAACTAGCTGTACCCGTGCGGCTTCATCCGCATGAAATAATGAATTTTATTTTTATTGTTTACATTTGTCAAAGTATCAATGTCAAACTGACATGACATGACAAACCTTGGCAATCTTGTTTCCTTGATGTTGGCAGCAACTTATGGTATCTTTCCCACATTAGGGTTTTTATACAAAATATTTACCCCCTAAGTTTAATGGCGTAAAAATATATAGCCTAAAGCGTGACGTAAGTTTAGGGTTTTTAATTAAAAAAAGAATTATTCAAAAATATGCATTAATAGCTGACATCTTAGACAACAAAAAAGTGTGTTTACGCTTTACTATAATAGTATAGATAAAATAATTTAGTGGAGTTAATCAAAGATTAATTATGCACTATCAATTCGAAAGTGATTTAAATTGTATGCTGTAGAAACGAAACTGGTTACTCTACTGTCATCTTTACCCTTAGGTATTACTTGAGCTTATTATCCTCATTACGCTATCTGGTGAACAACAATGACATTTCGAACCGGTCGCGGTACGAGCCGCACGCCCGACCGACTTGGCTGACACGAATGCGAACGACGAAAGTCGGGTGAAATTCGAGCGACGCTTCCACACAGACGGACGTAAAACCAATCAAATAATATTATGGAATTGATACTAAATAGTAAACATTTAATCTACAAGAATCACCATTTAATTAAATACTACTATTATAAATGCGAAAGTTTAGATGGATGGATGTTTGTAAGAGTTTGTAGACTAAACTGCTCAACGGATTTCGATGAAATTTGGTATAGATGTAGAGAATAGTCTGGAAGAACACATAGGCTACTCACTTTTGTTTTTTTAATTCCACGCGGACGAAGTCGCAAGCGAAAGCTAGTGATTTATATAACAGTGTGAACGTAGCCACAATATAGACATAGTTGTCAAGGAACCTATTTCAAATTTGTCTTAATACAGGAAAGCAAAACATTCAAAGTCCTATTTAATCGCCATTACAAGTAAACTCGTATCTTGCTGATTCCATTCAGCATTTACTGTTGAAATATAACTCTAAACTAATAATATCCTCGCAATGGAAGTAACTACATACAAAAGGGCATCTTACACAACTGTTTGCAGCAAAGCTTATATAACCTCCGTTAACACAGCACGCGCCCAGCGATGCCTTGCCGCAGATTTCGCAGCCAAAGCAATGACCTCACAAGCTTCGTAATTACTCATTCATATTCATTGAGTGACGATGAAAGAATTCAACCAAAAGGTCGCGCACGTCCGAAAACATAAATCTTGTGACAGACATTCCTTTGACAGGCAAAATATTTAGCAATCATTATCGAGGGTACAGAAATTAAAATTCAAATAAAAACATCCAGTTCTATTTATCTTTCTGAAAATCAATCATATGAATATTTCAGCAGTATTGGTTACATAGATCAATATCGTTTTAATCTAGTCATTTCATGCATGAAGAAAACAAAATCGTTTTAAATGATTTTCTCATTGTTGTTTTACTCTTGGCTTTACGATTGATATTTTGATCGTGTATAGAATCTTATCTTAGTAGGCTCGCAAGGTGGTCCTTCGTTGTTGAATATTACACACGTAGAAATCTTTATTGTCAAGTTAACAAGATTGTTAAAATTTATTACTAATGAAGAAGCGTGTAAAGTAATAAAGAGCTAATCGATTTGTGGTGAGCGGCCCGGGCTGCGCGGGCGCACGTCAGCGTGGGCGGGACGTGATTGCACTCTGCTTCCATATTTAAATTCGCCAATACTTGATTGTAATGAGAATCCAGAGGTTCTAAACAAGCGGCCAACAATTTATTTTATAACTACTTTTATGGAACTTTTATTAAAGCCGAATGACCATTTTAACATTTTTCATAGAGAAAAAGAGGTAAGAAATAATAGTCACTATAATATTCAGACGAAAAAGTCATAGGTTTTATTATTATGTTACAAGTTAAGAACGAAACCATATTTCCTATTGACACTTTTAAAAAATAAGATAAACAAAAGCGCATAAACACGTTCGGTCACCATGTGGGCAGATCAAAAGTTGAGAAGCGATGAATCTGCTTGCACTGTTACGACATTCGTGCTGATAAAACGACATGTTACCGACCGGGGTGGGCATTGACACGTTTCCTGTTGCCAATTAATGCAACGAGCGGTGTCGGGTGCAGTTACACTAGGACCTGGCGAAGAGACGCCGCGGAAGACGCAAAAAGTGGACCGAGACTGCATTGCAGCTTATGTCGACATTGATACCAGTTATATAAAGGAAAGAAACTGTTAGTTACGTTAGCCGTCAATAATAATTTCTTTATTAAATAACTTACTGGAGTTTTAAGAAAAATCCGCATTAAAGAATTATGCTAATGAGGCCAGGAAGGTTGATTTTGAAGTTTGATTGTGTTTTGTTTGATATCTCGGGTTTGGAAAAATTTTGAACAATAATAAAAAGCCAAAACAGATCTTGCTTAACTTTATATCGCATTGTTAATATAACACGACATTGATAATTACATTTTGATTGATATTGACTTGTATATTTCAAAGGAGCATGTCGATATAGTACGTGCTACTACCTACGTCCTGTCTCCAGTTACATCGCTCAATGTTTACAACAAACACGGAAGTTGCAGACGAGGCAATTTCTCTGTTCTTGTTGGTATTATTGCATATACAAAAATTATTAATACTTCCACGATATGTGTTTGTAGTTATTTTATACTACAACAAACTGCTGGATTCATTATAATTTTGACACTAATCGAGATAAGAGCCTTGTCTTACGATAATGTAAAAATTTGTTGAAAAATCAACAAATATAGAAAATACAATAATGGAGATATTACTGACCTTTATAACACAGACCGATGTAGTCTTCTTCACTAGTGGATCCTTCAGGTAACTTCCACGATATCTTGAACTCCGAGCCTTCGACGGTCCAACTGATCGCTGTCTCTTCAACATCTTCACACAAATCTTCATTTTCATTAAATTCACTTTGACTAGTTTCTATGGCACTGGTTTCGTTTATATTGGCACTTTGTTCCGTCGCTGGATCTGTCACCTTATCAATGTTTCCGCTCGTATCGCACTGTTCCTCGTTCGTTTGACCATCACTATTAATACAGTCTTTGTCATGTTCCTCTGACATGACTCTTCGAAAGTCTATTCAAACATATTCTTGCATAACACAAAACTTTACACTGATTTTTTTTATATCACTCCATGACTGATTAAATTAAATACATGAATTTCTGCAATGTAATGAAAGTTGAACAGTGATTGCCCGAGGGTTGTTTAGTGTCTGGGGCGACTGGATGCACAAGTGGGGTGTAGGTGCGGCGGGGTGCGGGAGAGGGGGACGCGACGTCGCGACGCCAGTCCGACCGGCGCCGTCGGCCTCTTATACTTATTTCGCCTATTCACTAATCCCCTAACTATAAGCTATTCTTTGCTGCTTTAGAAAAATTGTTTGGAAAAATGTATTCCATCTCCTTGCTTTATGTTGAAAATAGTTACAATTTTTTTTTATTTAGTTCCAGTATTAATTGAACATACAATAAGAATTTATTTTAATTTTTTCTAAAGATTAAATAAATATGTTTATTAGCTCAATAATTATAACTCCTGTTTTCAGAGATCATTATATTATGGTAGGAAGGCGCTTTCCTTAATGCCAAATTTGTAAAAATTAATAAGCAATTCTTGTTTGAATCTTCAGAATAAATTGCTCACCATTATCTATGTTGGTTTACAAAGATCTTTTTTATTATTTCAAAAAAAACTTTAAAGTAGTACTCAATGAATATTAGAAATGTTATTTCACCAATAGCTTTTCTAGAAGCGAACAACAGACTACACAAAAATTGCATCTAGTACTATTTGTTAGTAAAATTGGTAAAACTTTTGTTTATTTAGACTAGTATGTATGTTCTAAAAATGTATTACCCATTTAGGAAATTACTTCAAACAACTAATGAAAAAGCTTATTTCTAATCCAGATAGTGATTTTACTCATAAGGACATTTATGTATGTACATTCAGCAACTTAAAAATTTAAGCAAACATTTGTTCTATGTTAAATTATGCAATTAATGAAATAAAATGATCAGGTTACATGGAAGGTGCAGGACAGTAGGGATCAATCACAAACAAAAAATACAACATAAACTTATTATTCTATTAATAAATAAAAATAAAAGAAACAAAAAAACATTATTTATTTCATTACAACACAACTACAACATTATTAAAGCTTCAATTTTGTTACAATCAATATATAACTGAAAAACCAAAACAATGTATGAGCAATGAATAGCTAAATCTACAAAACACACACTTCTTACGAATAATACTTTGAAAATAATTTAGTTATTCACAGATTGCACTTATTTTGTTATTTATATTTTATTTAATTTGTACCGTTCGACAAGAGAGAAAAATTCTATTTGCGACTATAAAATTTCGTTTTCAATGTCGTCAAGAATACAAATCACATCCGTTTTCAACCAATCATAGCGAAGTACAGCATCAAAGCTACGATTCTATTGGTTGTAAAAAGCGTTACCGTTGTACTGCGCTGGCTGCGCTTTCCAAAACAAGCTTTGAGATTTTTGACAGCCGTAATATGTCATACTTGAAATGTTGCGTTCTAAAATCTTGTCTATATTTTTTCCAACACTTAAGTTATAAATAACTACTTAATGTAATAATTTGTATTTTATTACGGTAATAAGACTTGCTATTTTTTCTTTTTGTAAACTTTGTGTTCGTTTAGATTGAGATTCTAGATTTTTGTCAATGCTCTTTGAATTTCTCGTCAATTGTCAAAGCTTGGTCAAAGCTCTTTGAATCTCTAAAATTGTCAGACAAGTTTTTAAAAAAAGTAACCGTTACTTAATTTTTATTGTGATTGTTATTAAAATTAGTTTCATTTTGTTTGTAATTCCGATACTTACTCTCTACGATTATACTCTTTTGCATTTTATCTAAAATTCTTGCCTTTATTGATAATCATCAAACCAGAATAACACCAAAATGACTTCACCATCAGACACTGAATCAAATTTAAGCGGTTTTATGCGCTACAACGAAAAAGAATTCAAACCTTTATATATGTCTATAATACAGGTAATTTTTTATTTACATTTGCTAATTGTCAACTTTAACGATCCTTCTATATTTCATCATCACCATGTCAATATTTAGGTATATTTAAATAATATTTAATATTTATGAAAATAGTATTAATTTTTACTATATCGCATGTGTTTCATTTGAAATTGAATATCACGAGTACTTGACATACAACAGTTTTATGTTTTCAGAAAATGGAGTTAATCAATCAAGATGTCCTGGAAATTGAAAAGAATCTTAAGAATATTAAAAACAAAGCAGGTCCAATGGAGGGTCAATTAGCCACATTACTACAATCTTTACCTAAACCCAACATCAGTACTTCTATGGAGACAGATTAATGTGTATATATTTGTATAGTTCTGTAAATATTATAATAGGTGTTACATACATGTGTTAGAATTTAAATAAAAATTGTATATTATAGCCCCTTTTTGGTACTCTTATTTTGTGTGAGACTTGAGCCATTTAAACCTTGGTGGCTGGCATCAAGTGTTTCTTAAAATTCCTGAGATCTGTAAATTAATGCACCGGTAGTCTCATCACTGGAGGATATTGTAACCTAATGTAAAAGTTAAATCTTTGGCAATAACTGTATTTTTTTTTTCTCTTAACAAACGTTTTTATTTCAGGCAAAAATTGTAATTATATTACTTTAGCAAACCCCAGTATCAAAAGTAAAATGTATATATGCATTTAATTTTAGTTTAAATAGTTTTGATTTTTATACAATCTGATAAACTTAACTTCAAATCAACATTCCACTTCTCTCGCACGAATTTAGAGCCATGTAAGATTTTGGCTGCATGTACTAAGTTGAGTGAGATTCAGAAAGTTTAAAAAAAATACTGTCGCTTTTTTACTTTAATTATGACATTCGATTTAATGACACTTTAGTTTACCATTTTTAAGAAAATCTCATTTTGTACAATTTTCGAAACAATAACTAAAAAAATGACCACAGTAAGTACAAGAGCCAAATCACCAACTCGCGCAGAAGCTATTGCTAAAGCTTTGAAGCCTGTTCAAGTCTACGGACCAGGGGTTTTAGTAGGTATAACTTTAGTTCCTAAAAATCCCTTACAGGGTTCTCATTACGCGAATGCCGTCGTGTATAACAACATACAATTTGCTTATAAAGTCTTTCCACCATTTGGGAAATAAACAGCCCGTGTATTTCAATCACGCCTACTTACTTGTTTTTGAGGATTTGTAATTCAATTGTAACAGTCAAAATTACTTAATCATTTAGGCAATTGGATTGAAGACAGAACTGAATGTCCTAAAGGCGATACGCTGTATTTTCCACCTAAAGATGTCATCGACTACGATAAATTAAAACCACAAACAAGAAATGAGGATTTCCGTCTCAACAGGCTTAATAGCGTACAGGTGATTTTTTTTCTTTTTTTATATAGAGAAGTCGTCACGCAGCGGTCGCCTATGTTAAGTGCTCCATGTACCATAGACATCTGCAAAACGACCAAAACGTAAAGAGAGTCTAGAGTTTGGTATTTCTATATTAACATGAATATTTTCAGGGTCACGTGTCAACAGTAGTGCGCCACAGCAGTCACGACAAATGTGGTAATTACGCGACAATAAATGATCTGGTCTACAACCACCTCCCCAAGTCTCTATGCGGTCCTAATCAACGGTATTACAGGAGAAGCGCCCACCAATACTATCCCCAGCCTGATTTATTGAAATGCTTTGTACGTATTTCTGTAATAAATCGAAACAGAAACGAGGTTCAATTTCACGAGCGGTTTCTTTCATGATTCTCTCAAGTCAAATGTTAAGCAGTCTTACGAATGAATACAAGAATTTGTTTATTCACCAATAAGACAGTTTAAATTTTATACATTTTATAGGGCAATGTAACAGAATGGGGCCTTAAAAAATACATGGAACAGGAGTGGGCATGCTCCGGTATATCTGACTATTTCTCAAGCCTGTATGAAGACACATACATGGCACCGCTGCCTTCACAATATCTTCAGGGCCCGGAACGAAAAGCTCGAAACTCGTTAGTATAATTAAAACTTGACGGGAATTACAATTTTAGTTGAAATGTGAAATCGGAGATTCTTAGGACCTAAGTCTAGGTTAAAATTAAAGATTCAATTGAGTTATCATACTAGATTGGGATTAATCGAATGCAGTTGTGCATTTTTTTTTTAATAAAGGCACAATAAAACATGAAATAGATACTTTTTACACAATTTTATTGCAGGAGCTTCACAAAAACGTTCCGTTACAAGATGACAAAACCAATAAAGAAAAGGAAATAATGATAACATCAAGAATCATTTTCACATTTCAGAAAAAAAATATTAGTCTTTACATATCACATTTTGTTCAAGACGAGGACAGTGACGTCCATATAAAAATTGTAACAATACAATAATTCTTAATGCTTTCACATTCCGCCGCCGCAAACACGAGATCAGCAACCTTACCGCTAAGTTTACCTTCAAACATACAACTAGGAACCGCTTACATACTAATGCACGTGATAACTTAATAAGATTCTTAAATTATTGGCAGTTTATGAAGTTAAAGTCGATCGTAGTGATAAAACAAAACAACTTAAACATAAAATGTCGAATATCGACATTAACGCGACGCGAATGAGTTATCTTGAGGTAACCTGATGAGTCCCGACCCGCCGGGCACTTTGAACATAGTAGGGCAGCCCGGCCGGCGGGCGAACACGTTCTGCGACATCAACGTCTGCTGCGACATTCTCGGCTGAGGTATTTGTACATGACTATTATACTGCATCTGAGGGAACACGGGCCCGATCGGAGTGAAACCGGAAGAGTTTTGGAAGTAATTAGTACTGCAGTTCTGCAAACGATCTGGAAGTGGATGTCTATCCAGTTCCCCGCAAATGGAATCCTCCCGCGACGGGGGCTGCGAAAACAGATTGCGCTGGTTCATACTAGACGTTTGAGACTCGAAACCGGAACTTTGACTGGAAGATCTACTGCCGTTTATGTTGAATATTTGACCCTCGTTGCCCCAGTACCCGCCCGCGACCCACGACGTGCTATAACCTAACTTGCTAGGAGATATTAGAGGACGAGAACGAGCTATGGGCGTTGGAACCACAAACGGAGTTGCATTCAGTTTCCGTAAACCGAAAACGGGATTGTTTTTAGTATTACCATTTTTGGGACCTATCGATAAGGAACTGATACTCTCATCCAATTCGACATCAGAATCACTTTTAACAGGATTATGGTATTTATTGAATGATGGCTTTATGAATACATTATCAGCAATGGAATTCATGCTTTTATTTAATACGGGGTTGACGCAAAATGTTGAATTAAGTTTCGATTTGCCCCAGACACTTTCTGTCCGTGGACTGAAGGATCTGCCGTTGTTTAAACTCGCGTTTAATGTGATAGATTCGTTAGAAGAATCTGCTAAGTTGTTTAAACCGAAATTACTAAGTGATACATCGTCATCAGTATCCAAAGAAGTACTATCGTCGTTCATGAAGCAGTTCATTGTTCCCATTACTGGTTTCTTTGCTTTTTGTGGAGACATTTTCAACTTTAGTGATGTCTTATTATTTGATTTCATTTTTCTGTACAGCAAAATAAGTCCAGAAATAATCAGCAACTGTAACAAGAGAATTGATGAAATTTTGTTAAATATACGAAACTATTGTAAGAAATTTTTATTTTTTGATTTCACTTACATTGAAACAACTCTTGTAAACGGGATCCAACTTCATAGTTTTGTGAGTTATAGATGTAAGTGTAAACATTAACCAAAGCAAGTCAATCATTATACTATAGTTTAATTTACTCGTTTTCAAAATAAGTCCAACAATTTGTATAAAACAGACAAAACAACTTAAAATCTTCTGAGTCATATCGTTAAAATAATATAATTGTTCTATTGGGAAATACTGTAACATGTCAATACTTTCTACTTGTTCCATGTCAGATAAGCTACTTTCTAAGTACGGAAACGTAATAAATGTCTTCATTTTGATTATATTAAATATCCTCTCAAATAGCGTAAGTATAATATTCTTAACATAGTGCATTGTTGTTAGTAAACTTTTGTGTTTTTTTATACTGTTTACAACATCAATCACAACTAGAACAAATAAAATCACTGCTAATAACTCGGAAGAACCATTTATGAGATTATTTAAGATTTGATTATCATTTTGTTGTTTTTTCTCTAGTTTTTTTTCAGGTGTCCTAGTTTCTAATAACTTAGAACCTAAAAAGCTTTCTTTTTCCTTATTCAGTTTGTATTGTAGCACTCTTTTACACGGACTGCACAACTTGTACGCCTTTTCTAATTGTAACCTGTAATAAAGTAAATTATTAGTACAAATGTATTCAGTTTATTTCAAAACCGAAAACGTTATCAATGTGTGTATATTTGGTATGATAAGAACAATCACATAAGATAAAAATTGTTTAGATTAGCACAGCAAATGTCTTATACAAATTACTAATATGGATAATTTTTCAATAAAGTAACTTAATCTCAATACATTCATCAGATGGATGATTCACAGATGGATGGTTGATTTGACATATCTATACAGATAAAAGATATATAGAGAAAAAGATTTGTATTTAATATGTATTAAAATAACTCAAAAACTACTGGGCCAATTTTCAAAATTCACCATTAGAAAGGTAATTTACGTATGCTAACATAGGCTATATTTTTAACTTCACGCAAGCAAAGTCGCCAGCATCAGCCAGTCTCTAATAAAGCTAAACAGATTTTAGTGTGTTACATACATAGTGTGGAAGAACACGTTGACCTTTTTAATTTTTAATTCAGCACAGACTAATGTGTGAAAAGACAGTGATTAATAATCATTAAAAGAAATTGTAGGTTTCTATCATTTCACATCAAAGATAATAATTATATAATTAATGTATTGAAATTTTTGACCATTTTACATACTAAACAATCTGTCTATAGTAAATATTAAATATTCAAATATTAGGTGGCAACTAAATTTTTGTTAGAATATGAGGACTTGAAATTTATCATTGTTATTTGGAATGATGACAAGAAATGGTGCCAAAAATCTTGTCTAAAAACTGAACCCGATATATCTAGTGATGTTATTTATGAATTTGGTTCTGTATTTTAGTGAAAATGATTATTCAATGCCACCCACTCACTTGAGTTTCATATAAGAAAAACATACTTGGAATGTGAATTTCATCATAGATTTAATTGTCCAATAATTTACTAATAATTGAATAATTTTACATTATGATAGATGTATTTTAAAATTATATCAAACACATTGTCATTAAATTACTATTAAAAGACTGAAATATCTAACAAAATCACATATTTAAACTCAATTAAACAACAATTAAATATTGGTGGAAGTTATAATGTGTATTTCTAGATTTAAATCTGTTTTTTTCCTTAACATTAGCAATTTGATACTTACTTATATGACTCTATTTCATCGTCAAAATTCTTCTCATTCATAGGAACAAAATTAGCCAACTGTGTCACCTTGAGTTGCTGGTTTATATTACACATTTTACAAAGGCCATTCCTTGGAGGACTCTTTTTAAACATATTGGGGGTCTTGCAGGCCTCCTCCACAGGTAAATTGAGCACCTTGTTGTAGTCACCATCCTGTTAATATTTTAAAATAATTTAATAGTCTTCAATGGCTGATTAATCTTTTTAGATCTAATTAGTCACTTAAAGTGATAAAATTTAATGATTTTGGTAAAAAATATATTATAGTTGCAGTTATTTAGTTATTATCGTTAACTTTACAAACATACAATTAATTGTAAACAAATTATCTTTAATTAACAAAACAGGGGAAGTAATGACACCTAATAAGTACTATCTCATCATATCTATCTATCTCATCAAAATGGAATCACCTTCGTAAACCCGTTGTACTGTTCACATTTTGGACAAAACCAGCTATTACGGTCAGGGAATTTTACCCATGTGTTTATGTTGCAAAACCAACAATTAACTCGCCAGGGCAAAGCTGATCTGTGAACAGAATTTAAGAGAATTAACATATCTTATCAGGCGGGAAAGTATGTAACCTATATCGATGTCACGCGTACTTACCGCAAGTTGTGAAGGAGTTTTAAAAATAATATTGTACAAAATATGGCAGTTATAGCTATGAGCACTGATTCCATTTTATAATGAAACTTCATTTTTGCTGTTGGCTTGTCATTTATATTGTAAAATCCTAAATTTTAATCACTAACCTAAAAACTTCGCCCACCCACCATCACTCAACGGACAGTGACAGATTATACGAAACTACAATAGATAGATTAAATTTGCAACTGTTTTCTGCATCAATTCTTAAGGAATTTTATTTCTCATTTTTCTTAAATTATTTAAATGATAAGCATCGAAAATGTACGCTTTTATTAAGGGCGTTTGAGTCCACTATGTTTTTGAATTTTGTAATCTTCATGTTTTTATCTGGTGTTACCGTCTTTTTGATTTTCCTCATGATTGGCATTCAGTCATGATGACATACATCATCTGTCACTGTCACAATCACATGTTGAATGGATCCGTGGTTTTGTGATTGTTTATTATACCTTGTAAATTAAGTTATTTAAGAATTAAACCTTTACTGCAAATAATTTGCCGAAACGGTATTCCTCACACTTTTCAAATATGTCTAGTAATTTAAACATTATGTATCTTTGTAATTTTGATACGCGTGCTGTTAATTTTGGTATGTATTAGGTTATTTGTTTACACATGTAATTTAATTAATTCTGTTTAAATGTATCATAATTATACTTCTTTTTATTGATATCTGTAAAATAAACCTTTTATAAAGATCACAGTATAAAGTGTACCCATTTTTTTCTATAACCGTTTATGAAAGTGTATATTGATGACCAAAAGCCTGGATGATAATGTTTTTGAGCTGTGCTGCCATGATTTTAACATCTTAGAAAATAAAGCTCATTTTAATTGTATTTCAGATAGTGAGACATTAAAGAAATTATGGACTGGGAATTGGAATATAGAAGAAACTGAAATATGCAAACAGTTATTTTCCTATAAACTTGAAAATGATACCTTATTGGAGATATTACAAAAATATTCGGACGATAGTTTTACTGAAAAAATATTGGATATAGCTATCAGTGCATTTCTTACTTATTGTAATAGTAACTGGAGCACTGTTTCCAAGAACATAGAACTTGAAGAATACTTCGGAACAGTATGGCCTAAAGATGTTGATGTACATACAAAACTCCAATGTGACTCAGAACCAATATGTTCAAATATTTTGTATCCAGAATTATTGTATTTTTCATCACAAATATTCAACACCCTCTATACTATAGATCAAGACCTGGTAAGAAACAAAATGTTTTCAAAAACTTGAATTATAATAAGGAGCTATGTAACTAGTAAAATTATTAGGAATTTTAAACTAATGTAATTCTAAGTACAACTTATGTTCATTTGTTGGTAAGTGATCCATACTACATATTGAAAAACTAATCTTCCAAGAGTTACTTGCAGCATTATTTTTTTTTTAATTCCAACAAATATTTAACTTGTGAATCACAATATGACGGCCAACTGGTAAAATCTCTTGTTTTTGTTTGTCTGTGTTGTAATGGATCCATAGATTACAAATTCATATTTTATTTTTTAATTATCATATATAGAGTAGAGATTAATGCCAGAGCAGTACATATGCAGATTATCCTTAGGGACATGGACAATTTATGATAAAGTAAATCAACAAAAAATTCATTGTAATATCTCTGTTCACATTTGATTATTTATTTGTAGGTGTACCTATGGTGGATGTTCCGTATCAAAGTGATGCATCAAAGAGCATTAGAAGAGACCAGCGCCAGTCTTTTTAATGACTTAGAGATTATAATAGCAAAGTTATGTAATGAATCACAAAAATTGGATCATCGGATAAAAGTTTTATTATTCATAGAAATAGCACAGGCATATCTAATTTACGGCAGAATACAAAAGGTTGAGGAGTATTTAGTTAAAGCTAAAGAGCTTGCGGGCTTAAAATTAGAATTAACAGGTGAGAACTTAGAATTCAATTTATCTTCAATCTTAATACACTATTCTAGACTAGGAAAATCATAGTGTGTGGCTGTGTTGGTTGGGACTGACTCAGACAGACTGAAAACATTCATATATATGAAATACTTAAGGGGGTATCATAAGCAAATAAAACCAAAGTAGATGTATGAATATAGAAAAACCGAGAGAGATGTGTTCCAAACATGTCAATTGGTCTGTAGTCTCTGTTTACCCTCTCTGGGTTACATGTGTGTTTTATATTGTTACTATTAACAGTATTCTGAGCTATAATATACTAATATGTGACTTACATTGAATGATTTCATCAACACTTATCCTTTTATTATTTATGTACTATAAAGTTTTTGTAATATATTTTTTTACCAGGTGTCTTAGGAAAACGTACCAAATATCAACAGAATGTATTGCCGCAGTTAGCATTAACAAGTGAGTTAGATGCAAATGTAATGCGTGATTCAGCGGAGATGAGCCATGGTGATTCAGAACTCCCGCCTGATGTAGAGTTGCAGGATGATTTGAGATTAAACAAGATACATTTTGTGGAAACAATCAATCAGATAGAATTACCTAGCTTGGAGCAGACATTGTGTTTACTTACCGTGTAAGTATGTTTTAGTACATAGTTTTATATTTAAAAAATTAAGGAAAATAGTCAATAGTGATGCTGAATTATTGTTTTTTTTTATTTAACAGACTAGCAAAAATAATTTAAGTCAATTAACATATATTAAACTGGTTAAGATATTTAAAACCTTGCACTGTAAATAAGTTTATTGTTCAAATAATGAAGTGTGATTTTTCAACATAAAAAAAAACTCTTTATTTTACAGTTTTTTTAATATTTGTCGTGGTTATTCTTTCCAGCCAATACATACAGAAATCACAACCTAAAGATGATTTATTGACAGAGGAACTCCAGCCGTACATATCTGCGATACTCTCGCAGCAGAAAGGTCCATGGTCCACTCGTGTAGCGGCACTGCTCATCCGGTGTAAACTGGAAGCTAATCACAAACGCACGGTGGAGCGCTCCATGATGCAATGTGAGACTATAGTGAATGACAAAACTGATGTATCGGCTACAACCAGGTATGTTACTGTCTACAGCTTAAAATATTACAAATGTCAATCACATGTCTTTTTTTTTACGACATATTTTGTCCAAGTATTTCAGAAGTAACACATAAAGATACAGATTTTCCTATCGGATCCCCTCTGCCAAATTTACCCATTTCCTTATAAG